TGACTAAACACATTATTTATGGCATTGAACTCGCGTAAGTGATTTCTCTGATTTCCACAGTCTGTTGCACATATCATCGATTCGAATGCAAATGGTTCATCAGAACAGTGTCGTTCAGGCCTCATTATGAAATTGCACCGGAAATAATCTGCTATTCACCTGCATTTTGATGTATGACGTACGAAAAGTCGATTTATATTTAGCAACATTTCTGCGGTTGTGTCCCAGAATAGTTCTGTCTAGTTTTGAGCTTTCTTTGAATCAAGTTTACGCACAACTGCATCAAAACTGATACGGATGTTTATATTTTAGTGGCGAAAATCTACAGTGACTGCATTTAACAACAGTGACGACAATGATATGTCATCATTTCTATTTGTCGATAGAAAACCGCCATGTTTAGGCAAAATCCGTGGCAAATTTGAATGATTTGATCTTCGTGTTGAAAATAGTAGTGTTTTTCTGTGGTTTCGCTGTTTCTTCCTCATACTGAATAGCTTCGGAATTCAATTGTTTTAGCAAATATTTATTCATCAGGTGCCTATTCTATTCTATATTATGAACTTTTTATTGCTATTTATTTGTTGTTATGAGATACCTACGTTTCGTGTCTTGTTAGTAAATTAGTGTATTAGTATTAGTCTTTTTCTTAAAAAAAAACGAGAGTACTTCTCCTTCAATCGAAACTTTTTTATATCAAAAATCCATGGCCCACTAATAAAATTCAATGTTTCAGTGATTTTGGAGCATTTTTGAAGATTTTATATTCATACATCACTTATATCTTTCTGAAGTAAAAAATGATTGAATGAGCTGATAAAATACAGGGTGTTCTATTCAAGAAATCATTAGTTTGTGTCGTATCTCCAAAACCATATCGCGAAAATAAAAATTGAGTACTCCACTGGATTCTACGTGAAATTCTCTATGGAATGAGTATATATTCAATCTGACAGTATCACTGAGAAACTCCGTAGATATGAAGGGGATCCAAAGAGTGTGAATTTTCAGAAACGCCATGTAACTTATTAACGAAATAAGTAGGTAAAATCTGACCAGGTCATCATGAAAAAGAGGCACAGGACCGCGAAAACCGTAAGGTTCTATCTTCAACAGTGGCGTAATTAAGATATATCCCTGGAGGGTTGGTTGGTCCAATACATGGTCTTTGAGTTCTGTGGTCCAATATCCGCACTAGTGCGGGAAAATGACACTCCCCAAACTAAATTGCGTGCGGGCCCATTGTTTACCGATTCAATACTTTTATTTCTCAACTCAAACATGTATAACATTTATGTGGGTATATATAAAACCTAATATAACATGTAAATAAAACAGCAACATATGAAACATTACGGTAACAATACACGTTAAAACCCTCTGGGAAGACCTTGTTGAAATATGCGCTGAAATCATGTGTTGTTTAGTTATTAGTTTGTTTGTAAGCTTGATCATTTTAAGAGAAGAGATAGTTCTAGTTCTGTGGTATAAGTCATTTATCAAATGTCATTTGTCTCAATGTCTTTTGACACATGACACATGTCGAACGTCAATGACGCAATTTCCGTTTAAGAGAAGATTGAATAAGAAAATGGTAGAGACTAGAGATGTACGAAAGAGGTTATTGTAAAAGTTTAATACAAGAATATTGAAGTAATAAACATAAGTTTTCGGGGCATCCTGTTTTTAATTACATCAGACCTCCCGGTGCCCAGAGGTCGGCTACGAATGGTCCAGGGGGGTCGGTTTTTACACAACACACATGATAGATATGATGGGCAGGCTATGTACCAGGACGGGGTCCTATCCATGGCCAATATCAGCGAGATGCTCAGGGCGAGCGAAAATTCAACGTTCAGATTTGATGCTACCAAGATCTCTCTAAATTAGGTGATTTAATTAGTGGAAAATGAAAATAAAAAACCACTATTCATTGTTTACCAGATCGTTGCGGTTCTTCAGACCCCATGGACCCCCTACTAATTACGCCACTGATCTTCAACAACAACCGAGATACCTGGCTGTCTCAACCAAAATGGGATGCACTGTACTCTTTCTTATTGTCTTTCTGGCAGGACAGTTAACTACCCCCCTCCCTGTTAATTGAAAGGACTATTTCATTCATCGATCTGGCTCTATTTTATAGATATCTTCATGGACGATGTTCTCCTGAAATATCACCAATTGTTCCTCCCTTTGCAGTCCCCGCGAGATTAACCCGTCGAGTTGAGGCTTCGTACCCCTTCGTGGTCACTTTGGAGACCCGCAGAACATCTCTTTCGAAAGACTTGTTCATCCAACGAACAGCGAGGTTCTGGAACACATTGCCAAGGGAGGTGTTCCCCGAGACATATAACCTCCAGAAATTCAAGAAGAACACCAATTCCTTCCTTATTTCACGATGTTCTCTGAACATTGCAGGATATCTCTTTTCGTGGGAACCAGAACATAAGAGAAACATAATCACCAGCCTGAGACAACGTGAGCTTATCGCGAAAACATTAGCTGTCGTTAAATTCTGATTGGTCTTTCAACGATATAGATAACCATGGATAGCGAACCAAAGTCTGTCGTTTTATCATGAAATTGATATTACTTATGATAACGCTCACTTTGAGCCAAGAATTCCCGAAAACAGATTTTTTTCCTGAAATTAAGAAGGCTTTGAAGATCCTTGTTGCTGTACTTTGAGAGACTTGTACAGTTGAAAGGTCATTTAGTAGCCTTCGGAGAATCAAAACATGGTTGGCCTTGCAATGATGAGTGTATCGTTTCTCTATGGTGTACACAGACAACATATTTCCAAAAACTTTAACGATTTCGTCATCAATGTGACCAACGAATTCACAAAGGACCCTATAAGCTTAGTGTTCAATTGATTTTCTAAATTTTTTCAATTTTTCTCATTAAACTCTTCTCATTTAATTTTCCTCTTTAGTTTTTTATGGTGCCATTTCTAGTTTTCCGGCTGGCGACGCCCTTGATAAAAAAGCAAAAAAAAACACTACTACCAAAATAAATTCAGTGAATCTCCTAATCCTTACAAAACAGCATGGAAAGTAATATCATCAGATTTATCTGGTAAAAATGAATCATATAATAATAATACAAATTGTTCGTGATGGTGTCATGCATGATATCCCAGAGGACGTATGCAATTTGTTCAATAACTTTTTTGTTAACGCGCCAAGACAAATTGTGAGCAACATTAACCTTAATGAAGAAGTTTAACAACGTCTTATAAGTAGTAACCATCATTCTTTATTTCTCGAACCATTTGTCCCAGAAGAACTACAAGCTATTTTAAAGAATAAAATAAAAAAAAACATTCTGCTCGACATGATGAGGTTCCATTGACTCTGATGAAAGAGTGTATTCCTGCATAATAGAGCCTTTCACTTTTTTGATCAATCTATTTTTTCTAACAGGAAAATTTCCGGAATCATTGAAAATTGGAAAAGTCGTTCCAGTTCATAAAAAAAATGATAGAGAAAATCTCGATAGGTCGGTAACTGTATATCCAGCATTCTCGAACCTTTTCGAATATGCATATATGGATAGACTTTGGATTTTTCAACAACATATAATATTATCTCAGAGAAACAGCATGGCTTCCGCAGTAACCGATCGACTAATACAGCAACAATTTCTTTTTTCGAGTTAGTGGTGGAATTTCTGGAGGCGTGCGAGTGCCTTGTTGGGATATTTTGTGATCTTAGCAAGGCATTTGACTGAGTAAATGATTCTCTACTTATGTCAAAATTATATTCATATGGTATAAGGGGGGTTGCATATGACTGGATTTCTTCATTTTTGGTAAATAGGAAACAATATGTATCATTATTCCATAGCAATGAGAGCACTTGTAGCAGACATAACTCAGAAATGATTGATATTTCCATGAGTATGCCACAAGGATCTGTACTGGGTCCTGTACTGTTTTTAATATATACTAATGAATTAGAAACCTTCTCAACTTCTTAAGAACTGACAATGTACGCGGACGATACGTCTCTGATAGTATATGAAAAAAATGACAGCTTACTTGGTCAAATGTAAGAACACCCTTCTGTCAATTATGGTGTGGGACCAATTGTCTACACCTTAATGCAGGCAAAACACAAATGGTACGATTCAACAATCGACAGAAACAATGTTCCTCTATACAATTCAATATCAAAGATGAAGTGATTCCGAGAGTGATTCGGAGTGCATCTGAGAGCATAAGTTCTTAGGTATCGGCATCGATGCAAACCTGAATTGAAAAAAACACTGCTCTGACTTGATAAGTAAAATTGACTCAATTTGTTATTTCTTGAGAAATCTGAGAGACATCTTAACTGAACATCAACTCCTTGCTCTGTATCATACTCAAATTGTTTCCAGGTTAAGATATGGTATATGTTTGTGGGCTAACTCAATTTGTTATCTCTTGAAAATCTAAGAGACATCTTAAATGAACATCAACTTCTTGCTCTGTATCATGCTCCAATTGTTTCCAGGTTAAGATATGGTATATGTTTGTGGGGTAACTCTACGGCGGTGCCGGACATATTCATAGCACAAAAACGTAGTGTAAGAGTGATAGCTATAGAGTTCCTAGAAATTTTTCCTGTAGAAAAGATTTCAAAATTCTGATACTATTCTCAATGTACATATTCGAAATGCCAGTTTATATTTTCAAAAATTAACAAAAATTCATCATCAATGAGGAAATTCACAAAATAAACACTCGTCAAAAACATGACTTTCACGTTCCTTATCGAGAATATAAAATCTCAAAAGATTTGCCAACTGTGATGGGACTCGTAATTTTTAATAAATTATTACATGAAATTATAACACTAAAAAACAAATTTCAATGCATTTTCTCGATTGCTGAAAATATATTTATTGGATAAATGTTACTACAACTTTGATGAATTCTTCGACTCATAGATAGGTTTTTTTCTCTCCTTTATTCTCCCTGTATATTTTAATCTGTTTTATTTTTTTGTTAGGTATGTTCAGGTAGGTGTGTATGTAAAACTGTGACGATTTCTATACATATATGTATGTCCAAAGAAAAATAAAGGAATCGAATTGAATTGATTAACTTCCTCAATTTTTGTGTGTTCTGAAAATGGAATTCGTTTCAGGGAGGACGTACTTCTTCAAGGGAAAAGGCTTCTGGAAATTCGACGACCAGCACATGAGGGTGGAACACGCAGAGCAGAAACTGTCAGCGCCCTTTTGGATGGGCTGCTCCACCAACTACAGGGAAAAATCCCCTTTCACGAGCAGCTCGGGACAAAAATCATCCGCTACTGCCGAAACTGCCATATTTATTTTAATTTCGCTGTGTTCTGTTATTTTGTCGAGGTCTAGTAAGCCTTGGTGAAGCGATGTTTGAATATGATGATGGAGGAAAGGGTACGGAATATTTTCAGAATGATTTCTGTGTCGGTTGCCCAACGAGGAAGTTTTTTGGGAAGACAAAGACAGTGTAGCAGAACCTATATCAGTGTGACCAATTATTTGAAAGACAGCAGCACTCTTATAGAATCAAATTTTTATGATCGCTGGGTATAGATATCTTGATATGTTTATTTGACGACATTGGGAATGATTCCTCTTGGACAGATCATACTCAATGTTTGTATTTTTTTAATCGATTCGGCCGTTACTTGATGGAAATCCATGGCTAATGTGAATTCACAAACGATAAGATTTCCACAAAATTCTTACTTACAATGACCTAAACTGACCTTTGCTTACCTAACTTTTATATGTCCTACTTTCCCAACCCAAGGATTAGAATTACCTGGTTCGATAAACCTTTATTTTCGGAAAATAGGCGAAATATCTACATCAAAATACTTAACTTGAAAGGGTTGAGAGAAAATATATATTGTTACCTACTGAGAAAACAAATTCAACAGTGGTGAAGTATTGAGGTCTAGTGGATCGCTAAGTAAAATGTAAAAAATGTAACGAAATTCTTCTTATGTTCATGAATGCGCTGATTGAACGTACGACCTGTCTGACCGATATATTCCTTAGGACATGATCCACAGTTAAGTTTGTATACTTCTGATTCTTCGAATTCAGAAGTTTTGTCTCTATTATTTTTGATAAACCTTCCCAACGTGTTATTTGCTCTATATGCTACTTTTAAGTCCTGTTTACGTAGAAATGAAGTTGATTTTTTATGATCCGAAATAGGTTGAAATTCTAATATCGATTATTCTTTTTGATGGTAGGATAAACTTCTTGAATAGCTTTATTATGGAGTTCTTCAGATGAAATACTGCTTATCAAATTAACATTGTATCCGTTGTTGACTGCAATCTGTTCTATGATATTGAGTTCTTTATTGAAATTTACTTCTATTATATGCTGCAATTATATGTTGATGAGGGTGTGTTAGATTATTATGAACTATTATGAATTATTATGATTAACAAATTTTTCAACGATCAACTAGATCTCAATGTTTCACAACTGTATACTGTATAAATTTGCTATCAACCCTTACAAGTTAATCCGGTACACCGTATTTTTCAATGTAGATATTGTGCCTATTTTCCGAAAATGAAGGTTTATCGAACCTGTTCACAGGGAATTCAAATCCTTCACGTTGGGAAAGTAGGATATATAGAAATTTGGTAAGCCAAGGTTAGTTTAGGTCATTGTACCGATATTTCACCTGGTTACTGTGTTTGCAAAACTTGTTTAATTAAGAAATCAACTACAAATAGCTGATTTGTGAATATTTGTAATTTTTTTTATTGAATTGACGTCAGAAGTCTGATATTTAACTATTTATCTTAAATGGAATTATATCATAATTGGTTTCGGAAACACGATATCTTCCATGGGAGGATTTAAGACTTAGACAGATTCTGAAAATTGGCAACATTGTCATCAAAAAAGTATAATATTAACTTTCTCAGTTAGTATTCGAAGTTATTCACTCGAGTTTAATTATTTTGAATGGAATTATGTCGTCATACAGTCTATTCCAATTGATGCAATCATTCTCATAATATTTATGTTGAAATTGATAGACAGGAATAGAAAAAAATAATCTGATGCTCAATCATCGTAGTATCAGAAGGGTTATTTTTTCGTTCCCAACTTGATTTAAATCTCTAGTAACTTTTAAAACTACAAACAATAAAACTTGCAGCAAAATCTCAAAAAGACGACATGTTTCGTTTACACCATCTATCTATAATTTCACTTGACGATCAACTGAACTTCAATTCACAGACTTTATCAACGGCCAAAGCGTTTTAGATATTCTTAAAATTTACCAACACAAATTGAAATAGTATGATTTATTAATCTGATTATTTTCTTCGTATGATTTTAAACCGTTCTGATTGGTTCAATTGAGCTGAGCTACCTTGTATAATTTCGAATATATACGTGGATATACATAGAGTTACTCCACCAATCCGAAATTGAGAATTATTATTCAAATTTCCATAGTAACCATTTTATATCATTACACATAAACAAAGAGCTCGGCGTTTTGACATTCGTTCAGACTACACAAAAAACAATCGTATCGAATACAATTCGAACTTCAAAATCTTCAAGGTTATACATCTCAAACTTTCTGCACAATTATTACTAATCGTGTCAGTTTAACAGAATAATCCTTCCGCTTCGCGGTCGGATTATTTCAACTGTTAAAATGACACTATTCGTAATATTCATGCAACAAGTAATCGATGTATTACCCGAATATTTTTAAGTACAGGGTGATTCACCATAAATGTCCCCCCCCCCATTTAGCTCAGTTATTTTTGAACCGATTGCAAAATTTCAAATATCACCAAAAATGATGATCGATAGAGTTTATTTCTGCTACACCAGAAGATACAAGGTGCTCGGAACAAACGATCTACAGGGTAGGTACTATTTGATTTTTTAAAATGGAACACCCTATTTTTCATTGTATTTTTAGATTCTAGTCTAGCGAATATGATTACAGAGATATAGAGGGTGTTCAAAATCGAGATTTTTCCACTTTAGGATTTTTGGTATGGAACTATTCATTATCGGTCTAAACGGCTGCCATGTCCGTATCTTAACTTTTGATTTACTATCTACTGACATTTGGACATGATCAGAATTCTGAATCACGAACCACACTGTATATGTTCCAATTAAATGTCAGTAGATAGTAAATCAAAAGTTGAGATAGGGACATTAAAGCCGTTTTGATCAATAATGAATAGTTTCGACACAAAAAAATCCAAAAGTTAAAAAATCTCGATTTTGAACACCCCTATATATCTGTAATCATTACCGCTAGTACCCAAGCGTGATACATTGATGAAATCAGCTCTTCAGGAAAAATCTAAAAATTCAATGAAATACAGGGTGTTCCATTCGAAAAAATCAAGTAGTACTCTGTAGATCGTTTGTTCCGAGTACCCTGTATTTTCTGATGCAACGGGAAAAATTTTTCTGAAAATTCAATTTAGATGATTTGACATTTATGGTAAATCACCCTGTACTAATAGTATTACTACTGATGATCATTATCATCATTACATAATGTAGGAGGATACTTGCATACACTCCTAAAAATATCATAGTAGCATTGTCCCAAAAATTGTATATTGCAAGGTTCTTGCTATTTTTTTCACATTGGTTAATTAATATGCAGATTTTATAGGGGTGCTCTGGTTTCAACTGAGTACAGGGTGACTCACCATAAGTGCCCCTTAGTTATTTTTTTTCGAAACGATCCAGAAATTTGAAGAGTCATTTGAAATGATTTTTGAAGAGAAAATACAGGGTTCTCGGAACGAACGATCTACAGGGTAATAGTTGAGTTTTTCAAAAGGAACTTCCTGTAGTTTATTGCATATTTACATTCTTCTTGAAGAGCTGATTTCATGAATATATCTCACTTGGGATCTAGCGGGAATGATTACAAAGATATAGGGTGTTCAAAATCGGGATTTTTTCAATTGTAAGATTTTTTGTGCCGAAACTATACATTATTGGTCAAAACGGCTTCCACGTCTCTATCTCAACTTTTGATTTACTATCTGCTGACAATTAATAATTGGAACAGTTACAGGGCGGTCATAATTCTGAATCTTGACCATGCACCCTGTATTGTTCCAATTAAATGTCGGTAGACATTAAATCACAAGTTAAGATAGGGACATGTGAGTCATTTTGTTCGACCAATAATGAATAGTTTACACGCAAAAGAATCCTGAAGTTGAAAATTTTCGATTTTGAACACCCTATATCTCTTCAATCATTCATGCTAGATCCCAAGTATGATACATTGATGAAATCAGCTCTCCAATGATAATCTGAAAATTCAATGAAATACAGGGTGTTCCATTTCAATGAATCAACTAGTGCCCTGTAGATCGTTTGTTCCGAGCACCCCTGTATTCTCTGATGTAGGTAGTGGAAAAAAATCTTAAAAATATTTTCAGATAATTTTTCAAATTTCGAAATAGGTTCGAAAATAAGTGAGCTAGAGGGGAAGAAATTTTTGGTGAATCACCCTGTACACTGTACTCACGAAGGGGAGATTTTCCTAAAACTTTTTAATTTATTACTTTTTCACTAATTCTTGCAGTCAGAGGAATGAGTAACCTACTCAAACTATGCAGCGTTATCCAGGATAAAGACCAAAGACAGAATTGCTTTCAACTACGATTCCAAATATACAGGGTTGATAGTAATTCGATACATTCCTTTGAAGACGTGACAGGCGAGGTGGTGAAAAGTTAATTAAACAATAATTTGCATTATGCAAAAGTTAATTTTTGAGATATTCAAATTCTTTTGTTTTTCTCCAAAAGGTAGAATTCAATGGATTAAAAGTTAGTTTCCCGAAAATCTGCTTCACATTTTTTCAACCCTTCAACTAGAATACATGATCAACACTATGGCCTTATGTTTGGATTGAAAATATTCCAGAAGTAGGTGAGATCATAGATATATTGTAAGTGCGAAGTCGTATTTTTGTTTGTGAATAAATAAACAGATCAACAGAAAAATGTGAATATCTCAGAAACTATTAACTTCTGCATAATGCATATAAGGGTTGAATATACTTCCTACCACCTTCCATATCACATCTTCAGAGGAATGTTTCGAATTACCAATAACCCTGTATAGGTCCATGATATCTCTAAGTGAAAATGATATTTTTTCCGAATTTTTAGTATGCTTGCTACCTCATCATCATCATTATCAACTATATCGTTCCTTTAACCTTTTAGCACCCTGTATAGTTCACAACATATGGTTACACATTTTTTGTGCAATATTATTACTGAAATCATTTTTGTGTTGATATTTTTTATATCGTGCGAAGGCGCTAAGTGGCCATAACGAAAATACAATCAT